TAATTTGCTGGAAAAGATTAATTGTGGTTGTAATTTTATTGTATTAACATTATTATTTTATTGACAGCTGTAGTTTTTGACAATCAAATGTTCTATTTTTTATTTGTTTTAATTTGTATTCATTTATTTATTTTTGTTTCTATAATTTACTAGAAGTTGAATGGCATGTTTTTTTTTCTTTTATGGATTTACATTTTTATTGGTTTCAGAACAAATAAAAATGTCAATGACCTTTTTCTCAAACTGCATAAATTGGTCTTCATACACAAAAAGTTACCTCTATATTTTAGGACAAGGCAACCTTATCTCATGAGTAATCTGTTTTCGCATTTTTGTAAATTGGAGCCGAAATTGGTCTGATTTGAGTCATATGAAAACGGATGATTTTTTATAAAATATTATAATCGTGAAGGTCCACCCCTAAAAATAACTCTCAGTATGCGATATGCAGATTGTACGAAAACATATGAATGACATCGTACAAGTTCATACAAATTCACCACCAAAATGAACGAGTGAAATAGTTATAAGCTGCCATGAGAATGAGTTGAAAAAGAGTAGTTCATGGAGGGATCATTATGTTTGGGGGTCCTTGACGTCAACAGATTTGAAAACCCCTGCTGGAAAATGTCGTAACTAGGCCTACACCATCTGGCTTTTAACGTAAAACACGGCACACTTCACCTTTAAAATCTTCGACTCTTGAGAAATGCACTTCAGTGGTTTGGATTCTGTATATGGCACTACCAGTGCTGCTGGAACTGTAATCTGCTCAATAAAAATTGGAACTCAGTAGTTTCCATTAGTGCAGTCACATGATGTCACCATGAGCCAAATTTCACATAACAACCATAAATAGTCCCATGAGCGGAGGCTAGTTTGACAGGCCTCTCAACATTTCTTTTGTGTTTTTTTCTTTATTTTCAGCTCTGACAAATTGAATACATGCTTTCAACTGTCACCACACATCTCATTTCAAGATATGAAATTAGTGATGACACCCAAATTTAACATTTGTGTTAAGCATTTCCAAGTGGCCAAATGAAAATAGAAAAAACAAAAACGCATTCAAAATGTTAATAAAACATGTAATAGTATCTCAAACAGTACTAAAATAACATTATGTGATCGAATTATTAGCAGATTGAAGGTCCAGATGAGGACACTAATTACACCGTTTGGCTTTTAGCCTCATGGATATAATCGACACTTTCTTGTGTCTCTGTGGTTGGCAACAGGGAAAACACCAAAGCAAACAAATCAATCTCCAAGATTCTTGTGTTTTCCCTGTTTGTTACAACTGCCGAAACCAAATAAACTGCAAACAGCTGTTTCTCACATCTCATTAATTATTTAAAAGCCTCCCAGTAACCACTGCGCTAATCACCTGTAAATACGGTCCAGTGAACTCAACGGGTCTCTAATAAAAATCTAACACCTTGGAAAAGTCTTTGTGGTGATAATAGAGCTGCGCTGCTATTAACACACACTCATATATGAGGAGATTCTCAGGCACTATGTTTGAGTTCCAGCTATGAATTTGCCACACGTCTCTACTTCGTGCCAGACAAGACCACCCCAGAAAAGTGATTATAAATACTCCCTGAATAGAACAAATGGAAAATACTAAAACAAATCTATTTGAGGCCCAGACCCCTGATATGAACTAAACTGCTCAAACAAATTAACTAGGGGCCCTGGCTGTATTAAGTCCTACAGGAATATTTTTGTTTTTATGGTTTCAGATTCCAAAATACTGTTATACGATAATTATGGGAGTTATGTAAAGTATATTAGAGGTAGTTTCCCTAAAAAAAAAAAAACGGTTTAAAAGCTCCACCTTGTGGCTAGAACAAGAACTCACCACAACGAACATGTGCTATACAGGTGCATCTCAATAAATTAGAATGTCATGGAAAAGTTCATTTATTTCAGTAATTAAACTCAAATTGTGAATCTCGTGTATTAAATAAATTCAATGCACACAGACTGAAGTAGTTTAAGTCTTTGGTTCTTTTAATTGTGATGATTTTGGCTCACATTTAACAAAAACCCACCAATTCACTATCTCAACAAATTAGAATACTTCATAAGACCAATAAAAAAAACATTTTTAGTGAATTTGTGAAAGCGAAGCTACTTTGTTTGGCCTTCCAAAAGAGGACGATATCCGCTTCGTCATGCCTAGAGCTGATCCGTGCTGGTCGCTGAGGAAATACTACAACTTTACAACCGGATCGGCTTTCACCATGGACGAAACGGAGTCCAGCCCGGGGTCGTCACATGTGGTTGCCGCAAACCTGCCGGACGCTCCTTCGTCGAATCCACTGGCCGCGCTGTTCTCAAGCCCTCCGCCCACTCAAGCCCACCGTGTGTGACGCTGTGTGTTTCATTGTGAAAGCGAAACTACTTCGTTTGGCCTTCCAAAAGAGGACACGACTAGAAATCAGGGGTTAAGTTGTATTTACAACACTGTTCCAGAACAGTTCAACCCAAATATTCAGATGTGTGCAGTGCATTTTATGGAGGACTGTTTCCTGATCCTGCAGAGTAGACTACAATGCCGGCTGTTCTGACTCACAGACTGTAAGTTTTGAGCAGTGTAGTAGAGTAGCGCTTGTTGTTTGTCGTTTCTCCGATCACAAATGCAGA